GTTTTTGATAGCACTAAAAGCAAAGCTGTTGCTATTGTTTTTTCTACTGAAACAAGCTGTCTTTAAGTACGAGTAAGTACTCAGCAACAGCACTTTGAGGTCTGTGGTCTCTTTGAGCATGTGGTTCTTGTTTGAGAGGTGCATGTCTGCTATCCTGTGGCAGTTGGACGACACTACAGACGTGAACCTTTTCAAGGCAGAGAAAACACTTAGATGCTCACCACTTCGCTCATGTCTTCACTTTTTAGCTGTATCATCTTTGTTAAATGAAGACAGTGACTTACTTGATTTATTGTGTTCCTTATATATCAGTAGAGCTAATATAGCTGAAAATAAGACAGAAGCCAACCCTCCAGCAGCAAAGGCAGCGGTGCAAATGTCGGAGCTGCAGGTGGCTGAAATAACAACATGCATGATGTTAACATCTGATCACATTATCTGCTAAATCACAAACATGATGTCTGCAACATAGAACTGGTTTTCCAATATCTAGGAACTATGGCAAACTAAGCAGCTTCCTTTCTTAAGAAGTGTTGCATAATCACGTAAATGGCTCCATGTATACAAAATAAAACACATTTATGTTTTTATTTTATTACAACAAGATGTTTCCCGAGCTAATTATCGGAAGACTTTTCAGACTATACCTGAAAATAATTGAATCACCTTCAACTTCCTACAACTCAGATGTGAGATAATGCAAGGAAACTGTTTATTTAATGAACAGATTAATCAAATTGCATATGATTTGATTTGAGGTTGGATATGTGTGGTGGTTGTTCTTTTTTTATTTGTTTTAGTTAAAAAGGGACAATGTATTATATAAACATGATTGTTGTCATTTGATGCACTGTTCCAGAGTTTAACACTAATTTGCATCTGCAGTTCATGAGCAGATTGGAGTTTTTAAAAGTAAGTGAACTTCCTACAACAGGCTGCATTTCTCTTATTCTGTTAGCCAGCAGGTACATGTGTGATGTTCAATTCCCCGTGTACCTGATATGAGGATCTTTGTCTCTCTGGTCTGGTTGATCTCTGGCTGGTGAACCCTGCAGGTGATGCTGTGAGAACAAATAAAGCACATGCAAGTTGGTTAGTTTTAGAGTAAATTAGTAACATTTTATGTGGACAAAGGTGTTTTGTTTTCAAAAGCTTTTTAACAATGAGTGCCCTTTGTCACCGATTCTGCTTAGAATTTTTATGGACAGAATTTCTAAGCGTAGCCAAGCGGTGGAAGGCTTTCACAGAGAATCTCATGTCTGCTTTATACAGATGTTGTGGTTCTGTTGGCATCATCGGGTAATGGCCTCCAGCTTGCACTGGAACGGTTCGCAGCCAAGTGTGAAGCGGTGGAAATGAGAATCAGCTAGAAAAGGGAGGAGTGCCCACTCAGGGACGAGTTCCTGCACCATGAGTGATTGCAGTGATGCAGACGCCATACTGGTCCATCATGATGAAGGGAGAGATGAGTGTCAAAGTGAAGCGCTCTGTTAGCCGATCAATCTACCTCCCTACCCTCAATTATGGTCATGAGCTGTGGGTAGTGACTGAAAAAACAAGATCACACATAGAAGCGGCAGAATTGGGCTTCCTCCGAAGAGTGACTGGCCTCTCCCTTAGAGAGTCGGGCCATTCGGGAGGGGCTCAGAGTAGAGCCGCTGCTCCTCCACATTGAAAAGAGGCAGTTGAGGTGGTTCAGGCATCTGACAGTGTCAAATGCCTGAACCACCCGGGCCTCCTCCCAGTGGACACTGAGCTACTTGGGAATGCCTTGGTGTTGCTCCGGGCAAACTGGAGGAGGTGGCTGGGGAGAGACAGGTCTGGGCTTCTCTGCTTAGACTTCTGGCCCCGGATAATTGGAAGAAGATAAATGGATGGATAGATGTTTTTTAAGAAATTAAATATAATGATGAGTTGGGGAAAAAAAAACTGGCTGCTTGTGTCTGATTTACTTACCAAACATGGTATATCACTGGTTAAATCTTTTAAGAAAACAGGATCAATTTAATAGAACCAAATTTAAATGTTTTTTTTTTTTTGGGTGCTCCCTTTAGGGGTGACTGCAGCAAGTCATCCATGCACATCTCACCCTCTGCCCTCGCTCTTTTCTTCACATCTCTTGTGTCTATTGCTTTGGACGTTTAAGACTTCACAGAGAGAAATACGTTCATACACAAGAGTTTTAGCTTTAAAGAAATCATAAATGCCAATGACCAGTCAAAATGAGGTCATAAGATTTAAAACTATTCCTGTTCACATTGCACTAATGATGTCTTAACTCAACAACAAGTCTGTTTCATGATACATGATGTACTGCATCGCAACCTCTCGCATATGAGAGAGCAACTTCTGATGTGTCTGAGAAATGTTTTGAGGCATAAGGAAAACATTTTGTTTATGTTACACAAAATAAATTATCAGTGAGTTTTGAAAGATGGAGCAATGATGTCAGTTGAACCTGCTGTTTGCTTCCTGCAGAGTAACTCTTTGTTTGATGATGAAACGTCCGCTGGCATCTCGATCTCTTTCTGAACCTTGAGCAGGGATGTCGTTTCCTTGGTGATCCAGAAATGTTACCTGAGGCTCTGTTGGCCAGAAGTTCACCTCACACTGCACAGTCACCCCACATCTTTCAACCGAAACCACTGAGAGCTTTGGCTCCGAGACTGCACCTGTAAACAAAAATATCTAATCAGGTGTGCCAACTGAATCTTTCATCTGTCATCACATCCTGAATAACCAGCTTCATGACTAGTTTTTATGTGCATAATTCAAGCCATCGTCTTAATTAAGCTTCAGGCAACCAACTATACCAAATGTAGTTTACTGTGAGTAGCTAAAGATGACGAAGTTATCAAAAGGTAAATAGGTAAAGATTAAAATCTTTCTTAATAAAATTAAACACTATAAAAAGTCTTCTTTAGAAGCTTCATTAGAGTGAAATATCAACCAATTAATCACATAAACTTGGTAAACAACTTCAAAGAGATATGATTTTTAGAATAACTACATGGGGAACAAATAGTGTACACAGTTTACTCTGTACACAATTTAAAGTACTGGAGAGAGCACATAATGACAACATAATGAGGACAAAACCAGTTGAACCTGAGACACTGTGACGCACATGTGTGCACAGACTGAACTCTCAGCCTTTGTTGACACAATACTTCACACAAGCTTAGAAGTGTCACTTACTTCTTATCCATTCACAAGCTTCATTTCATACTCAGAGTAAACACAGGTTCTAGATTTACCCACAAAGTGTAATGGAGCTGCTAAAAATGTTTTCTATCATGAAATTACTATTGAAGTATTAACAACTAGCTGGTTTTTTTTTGTCATTTTTATGGGCCAAAAATTGCTTAGCACTGTTGCCTCACAGAAGCCAGCTGTACTGCAAAAATGTCTATCTAACCATGTGTTACAATCTTACAATCAGCCAAAAAGTCTTTTTGATGCTGTTTTGAGAGGCGAATACTATGAAAATTACACTCAAGCAAGCGTGTTATCCTCTTTCATCATTTAGACGTGACTTGGCTTAATCCATCAAAATGCCGTCGCTGGGTCTATTTGGACACTGAATCTGAATAATTCACAGAAATGTATAAAAGGAGTCATTCACATTACTTGGTTCGTTCAGTCTACGATTTGATAAACTAGACCAGGTCCAAGGCCTGTGCAGCATTCCTAGCTTTGGTTATTAAGTGAACTTGAGAGGACGTACCAACAACAAGCTCCACTTCTGTGACCTCCCGAGGAGCTTTCTTCCAGAGCTTGAGGCATTTGTACTTCCCTGCATCAGACATTTTCACATTGGAGATCCTTAATGAGATGTTTCCATCTTTCAGTTCTTTCATGATCAAGCTTGTCCTGTACTCAAAGATTGGATTCTTTATCTCGTAGGTCTCACAGCCATCCCGATACAGGAAGACCACGTCTGGGTTCAGACCTTCTTTGGACCACTCAACAGTCGGAAAGTCAGTGCTGTCAGAGATC